GACTGGTTTTACACACAACTCGGAGGTTAGCTGACACCTTAGAAACGGCGCAGCTCAACACGTTTGAACAGGCACTTCACATGGTCACCTGAACATGTCATGTGAATGCTGACTTAGGGGAAGTGATCCACATTTCTATGCGATTTTGAACCGAATTAGAAATCCTGATGATCTTTCGGTGATGTTCACAAAACTGCCCTTTTGAGACCTAAATCCTTCTAGTTTCTGATCCATACGACCGAAAATTAGGAAGGGTATTTTGGGGACAGCATTTCTAAGTCACCTTGGCATTCATGACGTCATAATAATGTCATTCAAATCCTGCCATTCAATAAGTCATGCAACAATCAAGGCCAAAAGAAATAAAATTATCGAGGCGTTTATATCTGGTGTCCGTGAGCGCGATTTCCAGATAAAATGGCCCCCAATTGGCTCCCAATCAATGCTGTGCAATGTGCGATGACGTGTTCAAACTGTGACGCATTGAGGAGCTTATTTACTAATCAGAGAATTGTGCTGTCTAGACCAGTCTTTTTCACTTAAAAAAGTACACCAATAGTTATGCGTGAGCTTGTTTCATCGTACCTGATGCTTGCTTCAAGATCATCTAATGTGAAACATTTCCTTTGATCGCTTGAGCTTCATCAACGTAACGGCTGTAATTGACAGCGCTCAACGCAAACTAGTTACCCCTTTGCGAGTGTTGCGAATTGCCAGAACGGTTCGCGAGTTTTCGCACTGAAGTTTTCTGGCTTATTGCGTGGCCGGAGTCTACACATGCATATTGGATACGGGAGGTGGTATAAGAACAGTAATAACGTCACAGGCTTACACAAAGCTTCATCACCTGCAGTTCGTAAGGACGGAACGCTCAACTTGTGCGGTGAAAACTAATGGTTTCGTCCAAGCTTTGTAATGGAAAGCAACCTCTGTAACGACCGACGACATGAAGCCCGGCTGTAAGAGACCGGTGTTGGATACAGCACGCCCGACAGCGGCGTGTTTTGTCTCTCAGTTGAGAGAGACTTCTAGTATGCGCAACAGAAATACGTTGTGCAGAGGCAAAGCTGTCGAAAACGCACCACAAAGCTCCAGCGCTGATAAATATAGCACCCCCACACGAAATACACTCGCAGCTGACGCCAGCATAGAACGATTCTAAAAGTGATCAGTGCACGTCATGCATCTTTGAGATGCGAATCAATGACACGTGGCTCGAGGCGGTGCCATGCCGACAACGGCGCAGGACTTCCGCGCAGCGAGACAAGCGGACAGTCCCCGGGCAATGTTTGCCAGTCATTCAGGAGTGTTTACAACTGTTAACCCGGATCCACTTCATGCTGTTCGACGCAAGTCAACGTTGCGTCGTGCGTGGCGGTGCTACGGGCACCAGCAGCGTTGCGTCCTCGCGCAGCGAAGCACGCAAAAATCGCCTGAAATATACCGCGTACATTTGTCTGCGTTTGCACATTCTTTACACAGATGCACAGATGAGCATCTGAGCAGATTGCCATGATATTTTCAGCTATGACTGGCTTAAACTTCACAACGATCCGCCACTTTGCAATTCATTCAAGGCCAGGAACATCTATTGAATGTTCCTGACCTTGAACAACATCTAACGAACATCTAATAGGGGCACAGAACAGTGTCGCACGGGCAACGTGTAGAAAAGATCGAGGACTTTTGCACAGCTTGCGAACATTAACAACAAGTTACTTTATATTATTGAAACACGATTCTATGCTACGTCACGGGTGGCGGCGTTGCCGCGTCAACGGTATGCCACTTTCGCGCAGCGAAGCGGGCGGGAACCATTTGTCTAAACAAATACATTTAGAGTGTACATCTTTATATCTGTGTGCTCGCAATGATTTAGCTCATGCACAGCGTAAACGACGGAACAGACTGCCTTGCGCATTGTGCATGCCACAGGTCCAACGCTCGTGACGAACCCCGTCCTATACTGGCGCCAGTCCGATCCTGCTGTCGGTCACATCGCACGCGAGGAGAGCCATTTGTTGACATCTTACAGGCGGACACCCTTCGCGTGTGTGCCGGGATAAGCAGGTTGCGCAACGATAGACTGCCGTTCAAAACACGGCGCAAAAAAAGAACAACATCAAAAGCTCCGCGCGCCAATTAGGACGACCAGATTAACCCTATCGACGCTGGAGGATTTTTGGGACTTCGTCCTACCAACGGTCGCCACGTGATCTCTAAATTCGTATCCCCCCCCCCCGCCCCACCTACAAATCGACTGTCCTTTACGGCATCATAATACTGGGCACCCGACACACGGAAATACCGAGTCTCCCACCGCACAGGCCATCTCAGTGTAATGCGCTCCACCCCCTCCGCTCCCAGCCTCCTCGGGCGCCATCGGTATTACGCTTGGCTTGTCTGTTCTTGCGCTTAGACACTGATGCCTTCAACCTTACGTGCAATAGACAACAGGGATTGTGTCCGGAACAATATTGGCCAACTCCGGTCCCACGACGATGCCTGGTAATCTTATCGTGCTTATATGGTTACGTTTATGGCAACATCTCTTGCTCGCGTGGCCGCGTTTATGGCAACAGTTTAACCTCTAAAAGCAACGATACAATTCCCCCTGGAGCTTAACATTGTCTACACAACAGGGGTAGAGTTGATCCGTTTTACCGACAGCAGACCCCTCTCTTCGCTCTCTCTCTCTCTCTCTCTCTCTCTCTCTCTCTCTCTCCTCTCTCTCTCTCTCTCTCTCTCTCTCTCTCTCTCTCTCTCTCTCTCTCTCTCTCTCTCTCTCTCTCTCTCTCTCTCTCTCTCTCTCTCTCTCTCTCTCTCTCTCTCTCTCTCTCTCTCCGCTCTCGACCTCGCTCTCTGCTTTTTCATTTTTCGACAATAAGCAGATGTCTCCTTTTTTCCAGGGAAGCGCATCAGAAGACGGAATGATTCAATGTCACATCTGGGTGCTAAATTCTTACCTTAGTGTACAAACAGGAGTATGTGGGATAGATGAGTTGTGAATCATTGTGCTGACATTAGTCGACCTTCGATTTGTCAGGAAGAACTGACTTACCAATGACATCACTCAAGCATTGATAATACAAAATCAGGAGCGTATTCACTAAAAAGAGAAACCGTGTTGGCTAGAGTAGTCCTTGCAGCTTAATTGTACACCAGTAGTTATAAGTGAGCTTTTTTATTACATCTGATGCTTGCTTCAACTTCTTCAATTGTGCAACGTTTCCTGTAACTTAGGTAACACGCGCATCACGCGGTGAGTTCAGGAGCAGACTATGACACCGAAAAATGGTCACCTCTTTCCCCTACTTTTTCCAACAACAAAAGAAGACATCAACTTGCTAACCATTAAGCGATAATGCATTGGGTTGGATCGGTTATATCTATGTTAATGTCCCTATCACCCGAGACTATCAAAAAGTTGAACAATGAACCTCATTCACGAGCCATGAAGCACCTTCATGAAGAGCCCTTCCTCTGTTAAAACTTTGGCATGGAGCCTCATCACCATTGAAATGTTTAGCACGAGCAATTAGTTCGTAACGCATCATGCGTAATTAAACATGTTACACGGTTTGGCTAATTACTCCAGATATTTTAAATGCATAAAAAGCGAAAGGCTAGAATGAGCGATGGAAAGGGATGCACCGATAAACGTCACATCTTGCTCTGTACGACGATTTCTTACAAAAATCTTTCAGCAAAAGTTGGGCATTTTTGTGCAGGATGCAAAATGTTTAAAAAGCCCCTGAAGGTGTCTCCGGAATAACGTCACGGTGGTTTTGAGGGTTGTGGTGAAATCTCAGCTAGTTAAGTTCACATCATTTTTAGAAATGTAAAAACTTAAAACGTTTAACCGGGGTGGTTCATGCTCTATGATTTCTTTGCCAATGACGTGTTGGTTACAGCTTGCTGGAAGTTGATAAACAATTTTTTTATCGTAAGAAAAGTTTTTCAGAGCTAGTTTTCTTAACTTAGCACTCTTAAACGCACTATTGTCGTTCTGGCGACTTTCGCAGTCAGGTCATCCATGGTCAAACTTTGTCAATTTTTTGTTACGAGATCTTTACATTTTAAAGATCATGAGCTGCACTTCTTTTCACAAATATCTCCCAACTTTGGGAGAATTTTGAAAACGCTGTTTTCTCGATTGCCATGACTTGTTTAGTTCCTGATGAAGTCAAACGAGGTAATGCACAAACAACATTCATCCCTTTGACCTGATGTTAAATATCATAGGTGTCTCCTATTGATATCCATTGACGCACATCTGGTGGAGGTTTTCAGGAGCTGTTCAAAATGGTTTTTGATATTTCCGTAGCATAATTACGTTTTGAGATAACATGAGCTGCATGTAAAGCGTTTGTTTGATCCTCTGACCTGGTTTGATGTGTCTAATACCGCGTATAATTTTTTTTATTCACACCTATCGGAAATATTTGTCGAGTCTTGTCCAACACCGTTTTTCCTCTGCATCTGGCTTGCTTGCTTTTTGATGTAGTAGGGAGGCTTCTGACCCTCTTCCCTTTCCCTCCTTCCTTCTCAAAGTACAAATGTGAAGAACACGATCGGAAGGCGAGGGTTAAAAGTCACACGACTGAGTCCGCAAAAGTATCAACAAATGCCCTCTGTGTAGAAGATGTCTTTATTAGTTCTAATTTCGAAAGAAGGAATGCTTTTGACCCTGTAAATATAAAGTTGCATTAAACAGCTCGAGGTGTCTGTCACGTTCAAGCCGGTGTCATAACTTATTTCGCATCTTGCATGATTTTACTTGCATGACACAAGCCTTCTCAAAATTTTGTTCACGGCGATGAAGCTCATGCGATACAAATTACCCCCATATCCACTCATATACAATGAACAATAAATTGAGAAATCAGTTCGGCAGGCAACAATCCACCAGCAGTGAGCACAACGGCGTTCCCACATCGCACCTTGACCAGTGTGTTCAGGAGTACTCCAGTCGGACTCCGGCTGTCCGCGGCGCTCACCTTGCGGAGGAGGCGGGGTGACCCTCTCAGCGGCGTGGCCTGCCGTCGACTGCCGGCGGCGGCGCTCAGGTCGCGCTGCGGCCGGCTGCTGGTCGCGGTGCGGCGTGCCGGTGGCCCTCATGCTGGGGGCGACGGCGCAGGCTGCGCACCGCCCTCCGGTGCTAGGCGCGCGTGGGCGCCTTCGTGAACGTCATGCGGTATTCTGAGCGAGGCAGGCGCGCTTCATGCGGTATTCTGAGCGGGGCAGGCACCCTTCATGCGGTATTCTGAGCGAGGCAGGCACCCACACCCCGGACGCGTAAAAAAAGCTCCGATGCGCCCTATGGGGCGGTCGAATGAGTGCTTGGCGTTGATGTTGTGCATAAGTTTTTATCGCGCAGGCGCCCGGTGCCTGATTTTTATGATTTATTGTACGACCACTTTTTATGGATGGTTGATTCCGCCTTAAGGGTGCAGTCCTATGCAACGCGCTCCTAAGACCGATTCACGAAGGACAGCTTCATTTCGGGGGTGACAAGCAGCGCCAAATCCGAGGTCAGTGGTAGAACCTGACGTCGAAATCTTGGCGTTCTCCGATGCTCGACATTGTCCGTCACGTCGTCTGACTTCATCTGATCTTTGGTGCCACCGCTGACACCGGCCGCAGGTTATCACAGTTGGGGCAATAACGATCCCGTATAGCGACCCCTCCACACAGTTGGGGCAACAACGATCGCGTATAGCGACCCCTCCACACAGCTGGGGCAACAACGATCGCGTGTAGCGACCCCTCCACCGCCCACCCGCCGTGGTTGGCTGAATCAAAGGCAGGCGCTGTAGCCAGCGCACCTATCGGGGCGAACGACGTCTCAGATACCCATGATTTCTGAGCTCACCTGGTGTGAAACCATGTATTCCTTTACTGATGACAAGTACCTTAACAAACATGCAGGTGCAGCTTGTGTGGATGACTGTACGGTTTATTCCACTTGAAAGCGAATGTTCCACACTTGTATGGGGTTTTGAGCTGATGCAGCCACTTGAAAGATCATTCGGTGCAGTTTACAGCCTTTAAGGTGCAACGTTCTCTTACCTTTTCGACTTTTAACAGCTTTCTTTTCACCCCTTTAAATGTGTTTTTTAAAGTGCAGCTCATGGTCCAGCTCTTCTTAAGACCACAACCTCTCTAGTTTCTGAACTACACGTCTGCGAAGATGCGCAAACTATTTCGGGGAGACTATCTTAAGGTCATCCAGGCACCCTTAGCACCATAATCAATTCATTAAAATCCTCGTGTTGCATTGGTATTGCGGCTCGTCACCGCAATGCTGGTAGCTTTGTGTATATATATATATATATATATATATATATATATATATATATATATATATATATATAGTGTAGCATATAGTGTAGTGTCCCTTTGCCCAAGGCTAAGGTCGGGGTCGTCAACCGGCGTGCCGGTGGAAAGTCAGGACATGGATATGGATATGGATATGCTGGCCTGTCACGGCGCTACCAAACTCTCTCATCCATCGACCCGACTCGTCATACACATCTGCTGCAAGTTGTCACAAGCAGGTGCAATTACTTCAAAAGGAGACAATTCCACGGCCCAGACTACCGCGGCGAAATCCAAGTGCTCTACGACTCATAAACGCAAATACACTTAGTCGCCAGTCACACCAAAGATGCCGCTAGCTCAGCACCGCCAGCTTTTGGTATAGTATTTCATGTTTAGTCTTTATCCTAATTCTGGCACTCTGAAAGTACATTTCAATACCTACTAGGCGGAGCTTTAAAGTACCCAGTGCTCTGTTTCCCTGGTCCGGGCAACTAGCCCGAGTTCATTCACGTCCCACTCAAATTCTGCAAAGGTATTTGGGTAAAAGGCGCACTAAACGCCCATCCGGGAACCGACTGAGCTCTAGAGCAGAGCAGATCGCGGCCTGCCATACAACAGCATAACGCGCTGAGTCTCCGGGTCAACGTGTCCGTCTCATTATACAAACGGCCCCGGCACTGTACATGCCAACGTCTTGATCACTTCGCCTTGGGCAGTTCATTCTTCCGCAATGGATTCCGTTTCGCATGAACCCGCTGCAGCAGAGTAATGGCTTTCACACATTGCGTCGTGGTCTGGATCGCATTTGTCACAGCTTGGTTTGACTACATTATCTTCGGGCACATATAACCCGTTTGCATGATGAAGTGCAGGGAAAAGATCCTAGGAAAAGTGGAGCAGACCACCTGGAGAGGTTCTGCTCGAATTAACAACTGACAATCTAATATCGTATTACAAAAGGTAACTGCTCTTCTTCCGATGCCAGAATTAAACAGAGGTAGAAAAATGAGACATTGCTACACAGCAAGCAGGCACTAAACTGAGACAAGTTATTGGCGTGTGATGACCTATTGACCTAAAATGGTCAGTTCAATTCCGCCGTCCGATTCAATTCTATCGTCAATTCAATTCTACCGTGAAAGTGCCGGCCGCCGCGCCGGCGGGAACCCCCGATCGCTGATAGGCGCGTTCAGTTCTAGCACCGTCGAATCAAATGGGCACAAACCAGCCATTTCCATTTCCAGGGCACATGGTACGAACAGGACAGACAAGAGTTAAACATGGTTCAGTAACTTTTCAAAACTTGAGTAAAGAAAACACATGGGTACAGAAACATGTACATATAAAACAATGAAACTTAAGTCTTGATCCAAGAGTACGCCGAGCACGCCCGCGCGCTGACAAACCTAAAGAACAACTCAAGTACCTCACGTATGATGGTTTGAAGATGCTGTTTGCATGCCAGAAAGTGACGCTGATGGGAAGCAACCTAACAGAAAGAAGTTCCACAAAACAGGTATATTTATATGAAGCTAAGGCAAACTGCCAGGCTTTCATATGTCATTGCTGAGGCTACGGACGTGAGCTTTAAAAACATGCAAGAAGTGTAAGCTATATATATATATATATATATATATATATATATATATATATGTGTATATATATAGTTACTTATAATTAATACTCAGAGCATAGCCGGACGAAATCCGAGACGTTTTTCGCATCTGTCTCATTATGGCGACTTCCATAATTTTGCCTGCTCCCCCATTGTGAGAAATCGACAACCATGCACACGGGTTTGCGTTTACAGCAGAGGTTGGTGCTGTTAGGTATGAATAATAGCTTTTGAGATTCCGGCCACTAAAACAGCTTCACCATGGGTACCGCTGTGCCAAAAGAATATTAACATAGCAGAGGCCTCTCCAGAGTTCGGAAAGACAGGTTTTTTAGACGGTGTGAAATGCATTATTGATGGTCGATGCAGATATATAGGCGGGAGCTTTTGGTACCTAGATACAAACCTCCGCACTTCAGAAAATATTTGCACAAAAAATTGATGCATCCCGTGACAAATTTGTCGTTAGGCTTTGTAAAACGTGGTGCAAATTGACATAACCTTAAACCTATCACAGCATATAGGCGCTATAGATGAAAAACGTTTCGTATATCTAAAGCTTACCCGTCAACCAGATCAACCTGAAAATGTATTTGTATCTAATCATGCTAAAATTTGAATCCCTCCCTGTCTTCCCTATATGACAATTTTATTCGTAGACAATAGCGTTGTACTAGGTTATTATGCGCGTCGCATTACTTCTTCATAAAAGCAAAAATCAAGTTACCCAAACGCATGGAGAATCGATAATTGGGATCTTCATAATTGGGTAAGGTGTTCGACCAGGAATAAGCCACCAAATGATTTTGCGACCCTCCACCACCGTGTTTGAAACATTACTGACAACTTTCCCCAATCTGCATTCGTCTACATTGTGATTACGCTATTAGACCGGCTATTAATTGTTCTGCACGTTGCACATTATCTTCCGGCCTACGGACACGTTTTATGTCCTTGTTTTCGTCTTTAGGACTTTTCGGCTACTCCTTGGCTAAAGCTCGTGTCGTCGTTGTTGTTGAGCGTGCTGACGTCAGAAATGTTGCAGCCGAAGCCAACATGCTAATGCCGCTGCTGTTGCGCGGTGCTGTCTCCGTGGGGACGTGTTTTCGCCGGCGGGACGTGTGGAGTCCTGGCTGGATCGGTGAAGCGCGTATTGCTCTTGTGGCAGCCGATGATATTGACGTAGAGGTTCGCTCTCGAGTCCAGACCAGACGGCCCATTTGCTGATCAGTCAGAGGTAAAAGGGCGTCCACTCGCCCACGAGCGTGGAAGGCGGCTATCAACGCCCGCCCTTCATAAAAGGAGACTCAATTGCCCTCATTTCAAAAGAAACGTGTTTTTTCACCCCCATGCTGAGGTTCCATACCGGCCAGATGCGATAGTAAAAAACGTCCACTCGCCAACGAGCCTGGGGGACTCATTTGAATGTCTGCCCTTTATGAAAGGAGATTCAAACACACCCATTGTTCAAAGTCTGATTCAACATATTCTTTCCCGAAATGTTGATCGTGATGAAACTGCGCGCATTACAGCAATGAAAGAGGACAATAAATTTTAGTGGCCTAGACCTTATTCATCACTGCCGTTTGGGGAGACAGTTTGTGAGCAGCTTGTAGACACACTCCGGTGTCTCCAAATTTTTGAAGGGCCATTTTAGTTCAGTTTTCAACGTGTTCCTCGTCCTTACAGCGCAGTCATCAGCGTAGAATTTGACCACTCATCTGAGGCTTTAACTCAGTAACTCATACCATGAACCCTATTTGACGCCATGTAACCATGTAACTACCAACAAATATGTTTATCAATATAACTTTTAAATACGGCCCATGCACGGCCCATGTCACCGCAAGCATCTCGAGCTCCACGACAGCGCAGCGTGACTAGACCTCAGACAAGAATCTGGAGCCACATTGGATCAGCTTCCACTCCTGGCCGTGACGCTGCAGCAGCACGTAGCCCAGGCCTCGGAGTCGTGATGCGTCCGTGTGGACTGCGGTTGGCAGTGACGGGTCGAAGTAGGCCAGGACCGGAGGGGTGACGAGCGTTGCTTTGACGACTTCGAACGCTGCCTGGTGCACCGATGTCCATGTCTACTGGTTCCGGGGCCTCAGCAGGTCGCGTAGAGGCTTGGCTGTCCTCGCTGTGTCCGTCGAGAACGCCCCGAGCTGGTTGACCAGTCCCATAAAGCTCCTTAAGTCTGTGAGGTTCTCTGGAACGGGGAAGTCAGCGATAGCCCGCACCTTCCGCTGGTCTGCTGTGTAGCCGTCAGGACTGATAACGTAGCCGCAGAAGTCCAGCGTCTGAACGGCGAGTGTCCTCTTCGCCGGGTTCAGGGTGATGCCATGGCTGTCGCATCGCTGAAGAATCTGGGTCACGTGCAGAAGGTGGGTCGAGTAGTCGTCACGGTAGGCCAGGATGTCGTCGACTACCTTGTTCGTCTTCGGCAGGCCCGCCAGTGCTGCGTCTCCAAACCGTCCATACTCGTCTCCAGACGTGCAGAGGCCCATGACGGCGCGTTTGAACTTGCAGCGTCCCCAGGGTGTCACACGTCAGTTTCTGGTCTTCCTCTGCGATCAGGACCCGGAAGTATCCTGACTTCGCGCCCAGCTTCGTGAAGTACCGGCTCCCTTGCTCGATTCCGGTGATGACATCGTGAGGCGTGGTGAGTGGATGCGCTCCACGTCGAACGTAGAGATTGAGTCTGGTCAGATCCACGCACATACGCACGTAGGTCTTGCCGTGGCTTCGGTCCGTGGGCGGCTTCGGCACTTGGACCATCGGGTGACACCACTCAGTCGGGTGTGCTACGGGCGTGATGACGTCTTGCGCGATCAGATCGTCCACCTGATGCTTGATGTCGTCTCGCCATGCATGCGGGATGTGTCTGGCGGCTGTCTCAGCATACGGACGAGCGTCTGGCCGTAGATCGATCCGCATTGGACCACCTGACATCTCCCTCAGCGGTGGCTGGGTGCTGAACACTCTCGGGAACGCCTTCTTCAGTGTTTCCAGGTGCAGGTTCTTCTGGGCTGGCGTCGGGTCCCCGTCGTCTGGTTTCTATCTTGGAAGGGACGGGTTAACCTCTGCCGCTTGAACGTCCTGAGTCGTCACGGGTGTAGACGTCTTCTCTTCAGCAGTAGTCTGTTGCGTCGTTGCTCCTGTGACACCATAGACCTGTCTCGGGAAGTCAGGCGAGGTGATGCCAGCGGCGATGGAGTCATGCCATGACAGGAAGGCGGCGTCTAAGCCTGTCACAACTGTCACGGCCGACGACGTCTGGCGTCGTCCCATGGTTGACTTGTACTGGAACGTGCCAGTACACTCCAGCTGATGTCCTCCAGCGGCCAAGAGACCGTCGGCCGGCTGTGTCAGCTGCGAGGAGTCGATGCCGATCCGCTTTGCTTTTTTGGTGCCGATGACAGAGACTTCGGCACCAGTGTCTGGTGTCCACAGGAGTGACCCCTCATTTCTCTGATGGCTGACCAGGACAGATACTTGCGGCGTCTTCTTCACGGTCACGCCTTGAACGCGCACGTCGTTCACGTGGAGGTTGCCGGACGTCTGTCGTTCTCCGTAGTCTGACCACGTGTTGCTCCGTCTGGCCCGCTTGCAGACTGATGCGTAGTGTCCTTTGATGTCACAGGCACTACACGTCGTGTTTCTGGCTGGGCAAGAGGCCAGCTGCCCCTTGGGGTGTCAAGGTCCGGCACAGCAGCCGCATCGCCTCTCGCGGATATGCGACCGGCTGTCTCGTCTGTAGCCGTCGTCTCGCCTGTAGCTGTCATCTCGCCTGTAGTTGTCGTCTCGCCTGTAGTTGTCGTCTTGCCTGAAGTCGTCGCCTCGTCTGAAGCTGGCGTCCCGTCTTTCCATGATGGATCGTCTTCCACGATTGTCTGGGCTGTCCTGTCTTTGTTGGTGTCTGTGCTGTCCTGTCTGTCTCTGCTGTCCCGGCTCCGACCACGGCGGTAGGCGGACACGGGGCGAGCGTGGCTCCCGCGGAGCGCTTCGCTGTTCTGTAGTGCGATTTCACACGCTCGACAGATGTCGATTGCCTTCTGCAGCGTCAGCGATAACTCGGCGAGAATAAGTCGCAGCGTTTCTTCACGCCAGATGCCGGTTACGATCCTGTCCTTGAGTCTGTCGTCCATACAGTGGGCACAGAAGTCGCAGAATTCCGCCAGTTCCTTTAGCACCATCATGTAGTTGTCGAACGACTCTCCATCTGCTTGCAGTCTTGTGTAGAATTCCTTCCTGTCGGGGATGACGCGCCTTTGGTTTCTGAGGTGCCTCTCCATCTTGTCCAGCAGGTCGCCTACTTTAGTGGTGCCGCTCACGCCCAGAGAATAGCGCACGACTCGCGTCCATTTATCGTCGAGGAGTGCCAGTAGCGCTGCTCGTTGCTCTTTGATGGGGAGGTTGTCGAGGCCTGTGAGAAGACGGTAGCCTTTGCGCTTCTCTCGCCAGGTCGAGAACTCTCACAGGCTAGCGGAGGTGGCTAGCCGCGGTGCTGGGGTGGCTGACGGTGGAAGGCGAAGTCTGCTGGTCGTGGCTTGTGAAGTCTAGGCGAGGGCGTCGTCTGCGGGCTCGCCCCCTTGTCTGCCCTGCAAAGCCTGAGTCACAACGTCAGCCATCCGGTGTTCAAGCCGGTTAGCGACTTCAACTTGGCTTTTCAACAAATAAGTGAGGTTCGCTATCGCAGCGGCAAAATAATTTCCATCCGCCATCGTGTCAAAACGATTGCTTCCACCGTGACTTGAACCCGGCTCCGCCGCAAGAGAGCCTTACGCACTGTCCACTATGCTACTGAACATATGATGGGTACGGTGTACTTTTCACGTGCTCTTCATACTCATTCGGCTTTGACTGGCTTGACTTCAATGCCGTACTTGCGCCGAGAGGTACTTGAGGCAAAATATGCAAAAACATGGCATTCGCAATATACATTGCCTTCCGACCGCGCCATGTCAAGTCCTTGGTTCGTTGGCACACACGATTAAACCAATAAAACGATGCATTGTTCTCTGGGCACGTGCACAACGCGCCGACTTGGCGCATCACTCTCACAGACGAGGTTGCCGTAATCGGCATATCGAACGGCAGGATGGGCTGCCCATATGTGAAGTCACTTAACCCGAGCACGAACACCACAGACCCCAAATGTCCGAGGCCTCTCGCGTTGATCAGGGCCTTCTGACAATAACAATGGAACAGTTTACGATGAGGCTCCACATTGACACAATGGAAGGACCGTTGTCAGTCAGGTGCCCCAGCACCGAACGGAGGGCTCTTCACCCCATTTCAGCCAGGAGCCCGTTACGGCGAGCTTGGGTCTCTGTGCCAATTATTAAACAACTGGAGCGATAACGGGTCTTTTTGTATCAATGCCAAATATTGATCCTTCTAATGGATTCCACATTGACCGGGACATCCAGACCCTAGTGTCGTTAGTATGGCCCACCGAACACCTTGCCCGGAAAGGGTAAAGAGCTTCCTTGGTGTTCAAAAGAGCGGATAAAGATAGGGCCAAAATGAAAAAGGCCAAAACAAGCAAGGACATCCATTATTATTCAGAATCAATATGTAAAACAAACCACATACAAGAGCATCAATGGGATGACCGGTGTCGCAGTCTCCGTCAAGCCGAGGGGCGCTGGCCACTGCAGCCAACACTTGACGCCAGACGCGCCGCGCGAAAACAGCCGTCGTGAAAAATGGTCGCGGAAGTCTTTCGAAATCAACTCCTACCGTTCAAAAGTTAGGCTGGGCATATATTTCACTGACATAATGTTTAGGTCGTCGTCGAAACTGGAAAGCAACGGCAGCAACACAGAGATAGAGATAATACCCTCACTTGTCTAGTTTCAGAATTCATTCCAGCACTGGTGCACCGATTCGCGGTGCTGTAAATGCTATTCGTTCCTATTAGAAATCTACAAATGGTACTGAAGGCCCCGGACATACAGCCTCAATTTGGTTTCCAAAACTCATCTCATCATCCTTATTTACTTGTCTCTGTCGCGCCGTTTATTCCCCTGATACTTCCCGTTCTGTGAGCTCTCCCCGCGAGGTTGGACCGCAGTGCGCCTATGAGCCTATTGAGGGCACTACTTGGTTTATAGTGGATCTGTGTCATGCTTGATTCTGTTGTACTTGTGCATGATGCACAACGCGCTTGAATACCCTGAGATCATCTGGCTCTGGAATGACTTATCTATCTGTGTTTATAATTTGTTGTACTGTTGCAGAAGCCGACACGGTGATACATGAGGATCATTGGCGTGAATACAGCTTTGCGAGTGGCTAGAACCTCTATATCTGCACGCATATGCGAGGAGCTGCTTCTTTGCCGCGTTGCAAGGCAGAAAACGAGTGTGGCCGCGACAGGCACAGATGAAGAATACTTCCGGACTACTTTCTGAACACATAAATTAAAATATTAAATCGTTCAAGGCACATCTTTTAGAAACGCTATCGTTTTCGCCCGTCCGCTGGCCACCACCTAATGCTAGCCGCAAGGCCGTCACGTGGCCTACGGAGACTGCAACGCCGGGTGTCGAGGTCCATTTTTCTGATTTGTCACCGCACGTGGTCAAAACTGTTAGCTAATACTTCCACTTCTCGATTCTGAGCAATGTATGAGAGCTCCCGTAAAAACAAGGGTAGGCCATGTCAATACAAATTTATGACCCTATTTCTACCTGCATTATATGTTCACTGTCTTCTGCGTTCACAACGTATCTGTGCAACAAAGGGAAATCCCCACACTGACCCGAAGTGTTATGGGCGTAGAAGGAACTCACAGAAACATCCATAGCGCCGGTGTTTTCAATTTATGCAATAACTAGATGCCTGATGGCCTTGGTTTATTGACTTCTTCAAAAAACAAACAGAGTAGTATCTTTCTGTGCATTCTGGGTTCTGTTGCAGTCAAGGAGATTTAATATTGAAATAAAAAGAAGAAAATCTTACCGTTCGAATTCAAGTTTTAGGGATGGAAGATTCTATCACCAGAAGGAGCACCTTATGTTGACCCTGCACTCCTTCCCCGGCCTTACCAAGGCTCTGGCTGCTACCCTGCGTGGGTGAGCTCGTTGAGCAGCGAGTATGGGCACGCAAGCGTAATCGCGTGGTCACTGCAGAGTAGCGCCGCCATCAGGGGTGAAAAAGCTTCTGTTTTACCGGATATGATCGCCGAAAAACTGACGCTTTTGCGAAGCAATTGGTGACAAAACTGCAAAAATGAAAACAAATTTTAACAGGCAAAACCACATTACAACAGATTATTCCAGCTCCACGGATTCCAAGCTTAGTATTGGTCTGTACTCGATAACACTTGCAGCGTGAGCACATGTCGAAACGTCGACATTTCGCTGTATGAACAAGTTGAGCCATAAATTGCTGCCAGGCATGGTAGCTTTAATTAGAATAGTTTTTAGCAGATACCAGAAACATACTACAAACTGTACTATATCAGTGCCGACGTTACAGGTCAGTGGTGACACAGTGCTTTTCCAATGACCCTTAAATCGGTGCTTTTCACAGATTTTTCGGCCAAGATCCGCTTCAGCATACTAAATGGCATAAAATACCAAATAATTAAACTTATTATAGTCGTAAGAATCATGGCTGGACCACAGCATCTTGGCGACGAATGTGGTCAGTTTCCTACGCAGAGCGTTTTAAAAGCGTCGCGCCGTTTGGGACAGATGGGCTTGATTGCTCGTCACGAGGTAATGCGTTGGCTTCGATGCAGGGCTGTTGGCTGCTGTCGGTTGTGTTCATGACGTGAGAAGCTGACTGGCTAGAACGGCGCAGCTTAATAGCGTTAAAAAGCCCTGCCGATTTAGGATTGTTGGTTGTGGACACCTGAGCTGTAGCTTCAGAGGTAAAAGGAGGTCGTTGGAGCGACACATGTAGAGGATTCATCCGTGAGCGCTGTCATATTTAAGCGTAACACGGAGAGTTGCCATGTAAAAAGTTTTGCCTCTTTTTATCTTAAAGAGCCGAACTGTCCTCGGAACCTGCCAAACTTGCACGCCGTCGAGGGAAAACTGCCTCTCAGAAATGTCACAAATCAAGAACAGATATAACTTTCCAGAAATGTATTACCAAATTCCTACCATCCAACCCGCAGCAACATTTAGGTTTAGGTCCGAAGGACAAAACGCAACACCTGTATGAAAAGAACGAAATCGATCCTAACTGCCATGGCTCCACATCATTGAACCCGGGTAGGACTGAACGTGCCTCGCTCTGTTATGTTGTGTACGCGTGGACGTGATCGGGGGCTGCGCGAGTCCTTAGTAAGATCATTAATGAGAATACTCCAGGAGCGCTCCGCGTCGTGCGTTGACAATCATTTGGATTGCAGGCAAACATAGGCGGCAACCAACAAACTGGACTTAAATATCCGGATGACGCAAGCAGTTTCAAAGTGATGTTTGCACACCCAGAGACATAAATGTCCTGTCATTTATGATTCGAAAGGTCGCATGAAATGCAAACAACACCAGGGCGGTGTCGTCCGACGCAGCAACATTAGGCGCCGACGTTGTACCTACAGCCTGGTGCTCAATGAGCCGTGCGATCAGCTAAGTTTGTATGACAAACTCGGAATGCAAATAGCGCCCTGGGTTTGTTTGGGAACGACTGCGCGCAATGCAACTCGTGAAATGTCAGAGAAATTTGGTTCATTTCATTCTGCCAGAACCGGAGACCTATACCAGGATGCTCACCAATGAGTTAAGCAGCCCGCCGCAGTGACAAATTTGCTCCAAACCTTAAAATTATTACCACACGCTTGTTTTGTCGGATGGAATGCCTGTGCTGTACTGGGGAACGGCAGCAGTTAGCGCATACCCATGACGCTCACAACTTTTTTCTGATTTTCACACAACCTAAAAATTTGCAAGGGTGCTGTCCTCAATAAAACATATTTTCCAGCCATACGGTCCGTGCTTCACTCCGCCCCACCAGGCAAACTTATATCCCGGAAGAAATGTATAGAATGCCTTCGTTTTGCAAGGAACAAAAAAACATCAGTTTTTACCACGTGCCGTTTGTAGCGGACCCCACCGCTATTTTCAGCGTTTCTCATTGCGTCTGTCATAGGTATTTGGTGTGGCACGGCATGCCAGGAAAAAGTGTGCATTTAATGCAGTGTTTCATAAAATCCCACTGAGATTACCTGTCGAAATGCGGTATTGTATAGCTGTTTTCAATAACGTCACAAGCGCTTGCTATAGGAAAGCTATTGTCCAAACAAGAGAAGATGCGGAATGGCAATGACAGACAA